GGAATATCCAGACGAGAGAGTGAGCAACGAAAGGATTAGAGAAATCATGAGGCTGGATCGAGATATAATAGAGGAGATAGAGAAAGGATTTGGTACGGACACGTGCAAAGGATGGAGGAGGAAAGGTTACCAAAGAAGACTATGAAATGGCAACCAAAAGAGAGAAGGAAGAGAGGAAGACCGAGACCAGTATGGAATGACGGAATTACAAGAATCGTGATAGAGTGGAAACTACCTCTGGAAGGATGGGAAAATAGAGACGAATGGAAGAAAACGTTAGGCACCGGAAGGCCGAAGTAACGGTCAAGAAACGGAAGAAGAAGAAGAAGAAAGAAAAACTCTGACCAAATGGAACTTACCCTGATATATTTATTTTTATCGAGTGATACCTAACCTGGTGTAGGTAACGTAATGACTGGATTCTAATCTTCTGTAATTATGCTTGCCAACCAGAATCTAACCTGATCTGTTAGAACTGCTGAGAGAAACTTAACCTGATGTGGTTTACTACTACAGACCACAACCTAACCTACTGTAGTTACTCTTGTTGACTGGAACAGTCTGCTCCTTTGAAACTTACCAATGCGGTACAGATCAAAGTTGTCACTGTAATAAAGTGTTGCAGCTTCACAATCGATGTCAAACCAATTGGCGCAGATCTGGTTCTCTTGATCAAATGACGTGTCATTGGGACAGAGAAACCGGTAATCTTGTATCTGTACAGTAAAATCAAAATATTCTTGTTAATTTCGTAAGTAATACACATTTGACATATGGCTTAGACTTGAAAGAAATTTGTTATTAATATCATCATAAATATTTGTTAGGTTATTGTTGTGTGGAATACTTTCTGTTACTCTGAATTTATGAGCATTTCGAAAAATAATTCTGAAAATACTTATTACATTGTTCATGTCTGTCTGTCAGAATTCATAATGAAAATACCACACCAGTTTCTATCAAGCTCTTTCTGATACTCTAATTTTTGTTTATTCATTCTTTTTAATTCAGTTTGGATCATTTTAGAGCCACTTCATTTCATGGTATAAACAAATTTTTATATAGTCTACATTTATGAGTCTTTGGGAGATTTTGTTAGCACTCGAATTTCACAAGTATTAGATGTGAAGTCTCCCAGGGCGAGCCTCATCTACTGGATGGCGGAATGGTCTACAGATTCTGTACCAAGCAATGTTAGAAATGGGGAATGGAGGGAAATATTACCGACAAAAAACATAAACAACTTATAGGACCTTTTGAAAGGAAGTATTAAGAACATTTTTGGGGCCCAGTGGAGAAGAAGGTACAATGAAGAACTGTACCAATTATAGGAAGAAGTGGACACTGTCAAATAGATAAAATCTGCCAGACTTAGCTGGAAAGATGGAGACCCAGTGAAGAAATAGACTTTTGACAAGCTCTAACCCTAAGAGAAGGTGGATATATGATGTGGAGATGGACTTGAAGCGAATGGAGCAGATGGAAGAATGTTGTATTGCCAATGAGAGTGAGAGAAACATAAATTAATTTAAGAAAGGTTATCGACCTAGAAATAATATTCTTAAAGATGAGAAAGGTTATCTGCTCAGTGTAGGTTCCGTCGTAATAGATCGAGTTTTCTACATCCGTCAGATACTACATCGAAGTTGGGAGTACAATGGGACAGCCCGTAAACTATTCATGGACTTCAATAAAGCCTATGACTCAGTCAAAAGAGAAGCTCTTTACAATATTTTGCTTGAATTTGGTGTACCTAATAACCTAGTCAGGCTAATTAACACGTGTTTAATTGAAGCGTCTAGCGAAATTCGCGTAGGTAAACATTTGTCCGATATATTTTCTATTCAGAATGGCCTGAAACGGGGAGATCTTCTATGGCCGCTGGTTTTCAATTTTGCCTTAGAATGTACCATCAGAAAAATCCAAGAAAATCAGGGCGGTTTTTAATTGAATGCGACACATCGGCTTTTGGTCTATGATGATGACATTAATCTGTTGGTCGAACACAGAAACCCTCTTAAGGTCTAGTAGGGAGGTTGGTCTAGAAATAAATGCAGAATATACAAAGTATATGACCAAGTCTCGGCATCAGAATTCAAGACAGAACCAGAATATAAGGATAACTAAGGAATCTTTATAAATTTGACAAAATTCAAGTACTTGGGGACGACACTAACAAGTCAGAGTGACATTCATGATGAAATTAAGAGCCGATTAAATTCAGGGAATGTTTGCTATCATTCAGTCCAAAAACTTTTGTCCTTCAGTCTTAAGATTAAAATACAAAAAGTGTAATTTTGCCCGCTGTGCTGTATGGGTGCGAAACTTGGTCTCTCACTTTGAGAGAGGAACATATATTGACGGTCTTTAAGAAAAGAGAGTTGAGGAAGATATCTGGACCTAAAAGGGAGGGAGACGGATCATGGAGAAAGTTGCATATTGATGAGATTCACGGCCTATACTCGTCACCTGATATTGTTAGGTTAATTAAATCGTGGAGGATGAGGTGGGCGGGACATGTAGCACGCATGAAGGAAGGGAGGGGTGTTTACAAGGTACCGGTTGGTAGGCCTGAAGGGAGAAGATCGCTGGGAAGACCTAGGCGTAAGTGGGAGGATAACATTAAGATGGATCTTAGGGAAACAGGAATCGATGGAGAGAAATTGGTGCAGTTGGCTCAGGATATAATCTGTAATTGCAATGCCATTGTGACAATGTCCTACCCGTCTCAATATGTCAGCCTCCAATTCAAGCCATTTTTCGCTTTTCCCACGCTGAGCACATTTTCCCTCACTTGGCATTTGCAAAACGTGTCATTTTTTTTTCTGTAGCTGGAGGACCAAAATGTCTTTCTGGTGTTCTATTTCCATGTTTTGCATAAGCTATAACTTGCAAGTGTACGAAAGTCGCTTCATTTATTTACAGTAATAAGCTAGGTGTCTGCTAAATAAAACACTGAATATTAATAAATAATTCAGTCACTGGCTAAAATTTCAAACAGATTATTCAGTTCTAGCAAACATAAAGGTACTTAAACTACGTTGATTGCTAAATGCTGGCGAGGGAGTTTCAAAAACAAATAATAATAATAATTATCTCAAATCTAAAACTTATTGACGATGGTGAAGAGTCAATTGAATAAAAATTTACTTGGATATTATCCATCGTCTAGTGAAAATATCTAGTGGGCCCAACTGTGTAGGAACCTGAAGACGGAGATAGAGTCCCATCTCCGAAACGTCGTTTTACGTTTTATTTTCACTAGACGATGGATAATATCCAAGTAAATTTTTATTCAATAATAATTATCCGTGGCGTAACAGCCCTCTGAGAGCCAAAGCCGACTAGCCTAACTGCTGGCCTCACGTTCAAATGCCTAAGCAGAGGTGAACGATCATCCAACCAGATATAGGGTGACATTCGGTCAGCACGACGAACCCCCAGCCATTGCTAGTTTTCCTGACCGGATTACGCTACTCATCGTAGTTCCCCAATTTCCTCACGATGCTGGGTTGGCACCGGTCGAAAGCTCATGAGAAAACTTCTTCTCCCCCGAGACTCGAACCAGCGTGCATTCCGTATCGCCGGTCCGAAGCATGATGCCTCAGCTATAACGTGAAATTCCTTACACCATCTGTTACAGTTAGAATTCCTTTCCATACTTTATTGTAAAGAATAATTTCATGTTATATTCATGAATGTAATTATATGTTAACTAATTAGTGGGAAGTATCTTTGTCCTCACCCCAACACCAGGCACCTTTACACACACGTGGAACATCTGGCAATCTGTTTCTGGATCTGCATAGTAGCCTCCAAGGATCTTGTCCCTGCAGTTGAAGTTCGTCTCTGGCATGTCATCCTGGCTATAGTTCGGAGGACGCCTCTGTGCGGCAGTATAATGCACAAGGAATCCTGAAAATGTTTCTTATGTCATGAAACTGTTCACGTGGGAAAAACATGAGAATATAGGCGCTTTGTGCATGAAAGAATGGCTTACCTAAAAGTAAAGTAAAAGTCTTCATGATGTTGGCTGAACTTTTCAGTCAGTTTCAATCGTTCTCTTGTTTCCTGAAACAATAATTGTAATTATACCTGCAATTTAATTAATATTAAAATTAGTTAAATGCTCGTGGTATGAGGACAGAAATTTGCATTGAAGCGTTTTGTAATAATCTTTTTTTTTTAAATATTTACATTTTTAATAACAGTCGACCTTAAATCTGTACATAATGTTTTGTTATAATAACACTACACTTAACACGCTTAAAGATCTGCAAAGATTGCATATATAAATCTCCCGTTATTTCATGGGAATAAGAGTCTGGCATTTCAGCCCAGCAGCTGATATTAAATTTTCGTATAGTGGAGGGATCCATATGAACAGGATCCTTCCATCCTTTTCTCGGACTGGGCCCTGTTCATATACGTTCTTGGCAGATGATCCAGAAGTGGTTTGCCATTGCCTTCTTCTGTGTGTGAATGGAGTAATTGTTGGGATGCCACGGAGAAACCGGGGAAGCCCCCGGAGGAAAACTCCGTGTTGCCTAGACCACGGCCTTGCCCAACACAAGTTATAAATCCGGGCACCACCGGGAATCGAACCCGAGACCCCAGGATTACAAGGCCAGCGTTCTAACCGCTAGATCACCGTAGAAAAGGTGCACATACAAAATTACGTAACCACGAATTTCATAATTTAAAAACGCTTATAATATTCTTAAGGCAATTATTGCTAAATCAAAGAAACAAGAATAATATACAGAATTTGACTGGTCTTTCGGAAAGTTTGGAAAACAAATTGGAGATTGGATGACATTATAACAATGAAACTTACGAAAGTTTATTGAACTGCTTCAGAATCGGCTCCAATAATATACACATTAGCGATATGCTATAATAACAGCGAATTTATTGTAGTTAACATTATCTAATTTAAAATACGAATAGCATCTAAGTAAGTAATTTGTGTTAATTAATCCATTGATAAAGAACTCACGAAGAACAGAAATATATTTGTGACTTGCAAATTGATTTTAAGACTAGTTTGATCCTGACAACATTCAACGCAGGCTGTGTGCGTGTGGCTCAATGTCTATTAATATTTTGTGAGATAAAAATTGATTTTACGTAAATAAATAATCAATAACGTTAATCCATAATGAAGAGTCCTTTATATTTGGATCAAGATAAGTAAAAAATGATGTCGGTGTTGGTCCTCTGGGTAGTAACGCCGCGAAGACTCGAGGGGAGATACCGACATTTCGGAAGAAGAGGACTGAAGATGGCAGCAGTATATTCCTCCGAAAAACGGCGTAACTACCCTGAAGATCAAAATCGACATCTTCACGGCCGTGAAAACCTCAAATCTAAAAAATGATAAACTATTCCTTTAGAGGCTTAACAATTTTTTTAAATTTTTCTTGTAAGAAAAACTTGTTATTATTCTTCTTCATTGGAACAATTTCAGTAATGGAGACGCCACTGTATAAAAAACTTGAGAGTGATAATCTCATATGATTGACGTTTTGTGTAGGACTACAAAATTTCTTCAAAATCGATCACAGGACTCAAAGATAAATGTAAATGTTCACCTATTCCCAAGCTAAAGCGATGCCTCAAATTAAACGAAAATGGTTTGACAGCTCAGAGCTTATGTCTACTATACCTAGTCGAGTCGAAATCGGTACAGTATTTTGGGTACTAACTGATAGAAAAGTCAGAAATTATTTTTACTGTTTTCTTTTCGACACGCACCTAAAAATTTATTATTTAACGAAATTTGTTTGCAAATTATATAAATATACCCAGTATTTTGAAATTACATATTTATATCATGTATCTTTTGGTTATGAAAATTAATCGTAACTTTTTCATTTGCTATTTTGAATAATTTTTGGATTACATATTGACTATAGAATTTGTCACATAGTCCTTCAAATTTTATGCAGATGTTACGTTTTGCACTTCCATTGTTGTGTTGCAGACTTTTTTTGTAAGACTGGCAGATTAATTGCATTTATAAAGTTCAAAGAAGTGCTTAAAGGTACCTCGTGACCTTTCGTTTGAATGTAATTCGTCTTTTAAACCTCTGAACACTTAAAACTGTCATGAGTTCTCTGTTGTCAAAATACGGAATCCGAATTCTTAGTGCCTGCAGCTATAATATGTACACGTAAAGTCCATTTGCAACAGGTGGATGGAAAACTATTCTAAATAAGCAAATGAATAATGCAAATCAATGCGTTCATTTTTACATTAAATGTTACAAATACAATGAAATAAACCTGAGTTAAATGTAACACAGTAACTGCATTATAAATCCTTGACAAACCTCACCACGACACAAACAAACAGATCTCACTCACTTCAACTCACTCTGCTTTCTGCGACTCCTGACCACCAACTGACGATGGGAGACTGTTGCCTCATCTCTGCCAGTGTGTCAGAAACCCCTCCGGAAGACAGTGAAAGGATGCTCATCCCCACTAATTTTCTTATGTTCGTTGTAATTTCCTTTACTCCGGTCAGGTGTAACTGGTTAACGTAATTCTTACGAACACTGGGAATAGAAAGAAGGAAGAAGATGGCCTTTGACTTTCCCTGATGTTCTTGCAGCTTCTATGGCTTGCTTACGTAGCCCCAGCAGTCGAATCTTTCTTACACTAAACGAGTATCCATTCATATAAAGCGATTTCTTCTGCGATAAGACGCTATCGATTGATCGATCGATTGCTGGCCTTTCCCTGATGTTCTTGCATATTCTATGGCTTGCTTACGTAGCCCCAGCAGTCGAATCTTTCTTACACTAAACGAGTGTCCATTCATATAAAGCGATTTCTTCTGCGATAAGACGCTATCGATTGATCGATCGATTGCTGGCCTTTGACTCTCCCTGATGTTCTCGCACCTTCTATGGCTTGCTTACGTAGCCCCAGCAGTCGAATCTTTCTTACACTAAACGAGTGTCCATTCATATAAAGCGATTTCTTCTGCGATAAGACGCTATCGATTGATCGATCGATTGCTGGCCTTTGACTCTCCCTGATGTTCTCGCACCTTCTATGGCTTGCTTACGTAGCCCCAGCAGTCGAATCTTTCTTACACTAAACGAGTGTCCATTCATATAAAGCGATTTATTCTGCGATAAGTCGCTTTCGATTGATCGATTGTCTCATCACAGATTTTGGTGGCAACTTCGCGTTAATTCGGTAACTCGTACTAGTGTTCCATGAAATGCAGTCCTCAAGATCAATTCAGTTTGTTAATTAGTCACAAATAAAATCTATATAATTTTAAATAGACGTACGTAATTAACCCTACGACTGAAGATTTCTTTTAAAATGACTTCGTCTGACTACTGGATCACATGAATAAGCTGCTCAGTTTTCATAAGGGCGCTCTGGTGCTTCTTTTGGGAAACTTTCTTCTAATTTTCCTGAGACTTTTCCTTGCGTATTTTCATTGCACGTGTAAAACATCCGATGCTGTAGTGTCAACGATCCACCCACCACATACAGAAAGAATCCAGAACAAGAGTCACACGTGGTTATCGCCATTTGCTCTTATCACTACTGCTGATTCATTGGTGTGACGTCACTCATTGTTAGAGCTGACGGAGTACGAACAGCGGCAACCAATGCAGTATCCGTGCATTGCGGGAAGGCCGAACCCAGGCGCATCAACCTTTGAGTAAAGTTAATGATTTGCCGGGTAATTACGACATTCAAGTCTGTCCCCTTTCGTGAGATCTAAGGTTCTCACGATAAGTATGAAGATGGCTGACTTCTGTGGCGTTTGGCCGTGTAGCCTGGTAGATAATGGCCGACGTTTCAATAGTGCTTACTGCCAATATTATCAGGGTGAGCATCCTGCAACACAAATGTCCTCATTACTTCCACGTTGTGGCACAAGGTTGATTGGAGCAACCGGCCACTGCCACGGTCTCAGGTCTTGACTTAGTTGTTACCGCCCTCTCTGTCCGTCTCACAATGTGGGAAACAGGTTTTAGAACTTCAAACAAGCAAAATTGTTTTAAATTCCTCTTTCTCTGAAGATGCTTTTAAGTCTCGCTAACTGCTAATCTTCTTCGCTGCCGCAGAAACCAAGTCACGAAGTCAAAATCGTGATTTTACTTTCTTAGACTCGGTAAATAATCGAATGGTATTCATGATTATGTGTCGAGGATATATTCCTTTGCGATGATATCACTACCCATGATCCTCCACGATGACAGATGTACTCAACGGAAGTGATAGTATCTTTGCCTGTGATATCCGCCTAAACAGAGAACGGCAGACCGAATTTTCATCAGATACTCTGTGAATTTTTAATTTCATACAATCGTTAACACCAACGTCACGGATGTTCGAATTTGTGAGATGAGAGGACTTCTGCCATGACGTAATTACCCATGATCCACTGCGACGAATGATTACTGCCCGTGTCAACTGTCAATGGTTATGGAACTATCCGTGCTGCCATCTAACACTGACCATACGAACTATTTTATATCACACCTGTCCGAAATTGTTGTCGCGGAGGACGGTGAGTTTGTTTGTTTGTTTGTCGTCAGTCTTTAGACTGGTTTGATGTGGTCCTGCATTTTCGCCTATCTTGAGCCAATATCTTCATTTCCACATATTTTCTACAGCCCACATCCTCAAAAATATGCGTCACATATTCCAATCTCTGCCTCCCCCTACAATTCTTCCCTTCAACTGTTCCTTCCATTACCAAATTAACCAATCCTGGGTGCCTCCTATCTCTTCTTATCGTAAGATTTTTCCTTCGCTTATCCTGTCTAAGACCAGCTCATTTCGTACTTTATCAGTCCACTTAATTTTCAACATCCATATATGGCACCACATTTCAAATGTTTCTAACCTCATTCTTTCTGGCTTCCATAGAGCGCTGTGCTCCAGACATATAACTTCAGAGACGGTGAGTTAACAATCACAAAAAGAATATGTTTTTGATAATGATGAGAATAATTATAAAATTGTGGAATTAATTAAACGTACAAAGAACTATGATTTGGAGAATAATTGACCACTAATGCGAGTAGATGG